CGATAATTTTCCTGTAGAATTACACTTGGATATTTATCGATTGTAAGCAAGTAATTCGGAGTAAAAAAATAAGGGCACCATATTTTTGACCACTTAATTACTGAAATTGAAAAACGTCCTTTCGGAAGAAGAAGAGTCTCTGAATTCTTCAAGTTGATGGAAATTAAAACTTAATATTTTAAGTGACGATTAAACGTTGCGTGATATACCCCCCAATATCCTCGTTCTTCTCATAGGCGCGAGTATGTGGTGTATTGTAGAGGGGGAGAAAATACATAGACAAGCACATTTTTCTCTGAAATAAATAAATCCTTCACAGACACTGTCAAGGTCATTTTATTGCATTCCAAAGCCTTCAGAATATTTTTACTGATAGCAGCACAAAGAAATTGATTATAATTCGTACAGACGTGTACTGGTTGAGCGAGACTTGTAGTATATACGTCGGTGGAAGTTAAGGGGCTAACACTTTGTACTGTAAAAAAGAACATGAATTCTGAAATAAGACAGAGTAAATGTTTTAATATCTCCATATGGTAAAATTTAAATGGTTGAGTAAGACGTATATATACGTCGATGACAGTTAAGGGGTTAGTTAAAATTGTTTATGCAACAACTAGCTACATTGAATACAACAATCTAAATATAGTAAATAAATTATTCCGAATAAAGTAAATATGCATTCATTTATAGAACTAAGACATCATATATACAATTGCACCGAATTGCATTTTCCAAGCAATAGTTCGCATTCCCGCATCCCTATTACATCACTATATCCTTCAATTCACTTTCTCTTCTCACATTGTATTAAATGTACCCTTTCACTCACATCCTACAGAACTGGTTCCATCCGGTTCCCCATCATGTGCACACTTTGTGGCGCACACTACTATCACTCACAGAGTGAAACCCTTTCCGATCTCTATTACAGCAACAGGGTTTGCTGATATTCAATAAAGTACTATATGCAATATATGCAGCCGTCGGCTTTTCTATTAATCGTTCAATCCACACACGCCAGTCCATATCTTCCGGCCCATCTGTTGACAAGCAAGGGCCGCCGGATTGGGATGGTGTCTGATCGATAGATGGAGCTTAGCGCCTAATCATATTTACTGGACCCAGGGGTGGGTGGGCAGTATGCGGAAATCCCGGGTGGGAATCTAAACAGGCCTGTGAACTGATTTCGAGGATTTGTTAGAATGGTAATTATCTTTGAATTGGTTTAAGTGAGTTGAAATGTCGTGCAGAAAATCAGTATATGATGGTATTATAATTATTGAAAAAAATTCAAGTGATAATTTTATTTAAAAATTTTCAATAGATTTTAAGTGAAATATTAAATGCAATGATGTTTAAATTGAGACGCAAAACAAATTCGTGTGCAGTAAGTTGCTTTAATAATGGTTTTATGACAAACTAGGATTAACTGAAATTAAGTGTTTAAATCAGTGCTTCTCAAAGTTTCAATATTTGCGACCCAATTTTAAATCATAATTTTCATCGCAATCCTCTTCCTTCATACAATAAAAATGTATTGAATTAAAAAATAATGTACTTTGATGCTAAATCAATGATACGACTTTTATTATAAACCGTACAAATTATCAAAAATAAATATTAAATTTTGTATATATTTTATATAAGACAAGCCCATGGGGGATCACTGGTAATTATTAAACTTGTTCTTAACTTAAAATTGTTAAAATAAATTATCAAATACATTGTGCAGTACTGACACATTTATAAATATATTATAACAGTGTAAGTGTGTATTTTATTTTTCATTATGTCAAAATGTGTTATGTTTTCTATTTTTTGTAAGGTAATAATATTCTTGAATAATCTTTTATTTTCGATATTTTGATAGGCTCGCTTCCCTTTCCCCCAGTTTGATAAATGGTGGTTTAAAATGAGCTTTTAACACAATTTAATGATAAAACGTATACAAGTAATTCATATTATCTGGCTGTAAATTAACAAATGAATCTACTAAGATATAAAAAACAAACAAACTTGGGAATATAATCTTTTTGCGTTAGTTAACCTCTTCAAACATGACTTCTTCTAAGAAAATATATTGATAGTTTGATTTTTCTAACAATATAGTACGAGGTACAAATGCCGGGGAAAAATATAATTCTTATAATTATTTTTGTTATTTTCAGAAGTACATGCATTTGAACCTCAGGTCTTAGATGCATGTATAAAAAAAATCCAATTTTCATCCTATTCATATTTCTTTTAATAACTCTTGTTTACAAATCGAAAAAATGCATACTACTTAAGTTTTCAAGTAAAAATGTTTAAAACAATTATTCTTTTATACGGAACGTACAAAAAATAATTGTACTTAGCACAACGTTTATCAAAGTATGAGGCACGCTCTCCTTGGCTTGAAAGCTACGAGGGGGGCACGAGCATATTGAAAAGCCGAAAGCCAAAGATTATTTTTAAAAACATTATAAATTTTCTGAAAGTAAATAAGCAAAATACATTCTAACATAATAAAAAAATAATAAAATATACATTTGCACAGGCATAATACACTTATTAGTGCATCAGTTCTGTGCATTGTCTTTTATAATTATTTTAGCAATACTAAGTTAAGAGCAAGTTGAATGGCATCATGGGCTTGTCATACTGGTACATAAAATAATATACAAAAACTAACACTTGTCTTGATAATGTGTACGATATATTATTAATCCCTCAACTAAAGATTAAAAGTTACTCGATTCGCTCAGCAATCCCACCGTTTTCCCCGTAGGAAAGCGTATGCGATGTATTGGGGGAAGAGAAGGAATATATAAGTAAATCCTCTGAAACAAGTAAACCCATCACAAACACTGTCAAGTTAATTTCATCGCATACCAAAGCCTTCGGAATAATTTTATGGGTAGCAGTGCAAAGAAAAAAAATTGTTTATCAGAAAGACGTATATATACGTCCAGGTCAATTAACTCTTTGGCTGAGCAAGACGTTTATATACCTCGGAGTTAGTAAATAGGTTAAAGTTGTATTGTAACTTGAGCGACAATGTTTTATATTATTGAATTTTATACATTGTTATTGTAAGGAGGGAGGGATTGAGATGAAAATAATCACTGAATATATTGGGTCACACAAATATTGAAAGTTTTAAAACCACTGCTTTAGCACAAATCTTAATATCTACATTTTGATATAAATTTGTCTGTTACAAATTACATGTTCAGAAATCTTTCACTTGAATCATCAAAAATTGATTTAATTTGATTCATTATTTCCTCTATTCTCTTAAAAGTTATATATAGTAACTCGGAATATAAATCCGTTTAAATTGAGTCTCAGATTGAGAAAAAATTTCAACTTATGTCAGTTATAAATAAACCCAAAAATCTCGGATTGGCATGTAATAGATTAAGATCAAAACAAATTTCTATGCAAGTTTTATGTGGTTCTGATTTTTTTCAAATTGCTGACAAGAATATAAATATCATGTTGCATGTTTTATTACTTAAAATCAAGTTTATAACTAGAAATCAACAAAATAAAACAACATGATTCGCAAAATTTCAGTTTGAATATCATTTGCATCTGGAAATAAGTAACAATCAGAAATGCACAAATGTGTGCTTCCAAAGTTACTTCTAATTAGAAACCGAAAACTGTTAACAAATTAATAATTATATGCTTTATCAACTTTTAGAAGCCATATAAATAGACATCAAATATAAAATATGTATTTCTGAATTTTTCATTACGTATTAAAAAATATATATAGCTCCCGTTTTCGGCCTTTTTTAGAGTCAGCCATTGCTATTTTGTGCGTTGAAAATCGTTAGGGGAAAAATACAAATATCAACATCTGGTGGTAAAACTAAATAGCATAAACATTTTTAGAAGCTAGCATTCGGTCTTAATTGATGGCTTTCATCCGTTAAGGTATCCGACTACGTTCGGAACCGTGATTTTAAAAAGGCGCATAAATGAATAATTTTCATGATATTTAGTGTCACTTAGATTAGAATACATGTATAAAATTGTTTTAGGGACATTTTGACAAAAAAAATTTTAAATACAGTATTTCGGCAAAATATAAACTTTTTTTCAAAATGTTCTCTTTTTGTGAAAAATGTTTCTATTATAATAATAATTTGCGTGTATATAGCTCAGGCCTATGTACATGGGCTCAACTATGAGTTCTGAAAAAATCCACATTTTATTTTCAGAGTTAAAACCATTTGAAATAATTATTGGCGTTTCTCTCTTAAAATTTCTCCCCTCTGATGTCATAAAATATGTATAAACCCACTTCTAAGCTATGTATTTCAAAAATTCTAGTTTGGCCTCTGTACAGAGATCTAAGCTATGTACTGGCAAAATACTATTATAATAGAAGCATTTTTCACAAAAAGAAAATATTTTGAATATTGGTCATTCTATGCTCCTTTTTTGTCAAATATTGTACTTAAATAATTTTTTACTGTAATACTATTCTTAAGACAATTTTATATACATTTTCTAATCTAAGTGACACTAAATATCATAAATATTATCCATTTATACGCTTTTGTAAAATCATGGTTTGAAACATGGTCGGATACCTTCATACCATACGAAGCCCCAACCACAGATACACATATGTGCACCTTGAGTCTAAAATAGTTACGGAAATAGAAATTTTTAACTATTTTGTATTTCAGTTGTTCTAAAACAAATTGATCTTAAAATTTAAATAATAATGCAATTAATTCCGAATAAAAGGAAATCATGTTGAAAGTTAGACTATATAAAATTAATTAAATTCTCAATACTTGTTCAACTACTCAATCGTTACAAAAATACTTTAAGTTCATTCATTCAAGTTGAAATACATGTTTTAAACTTGTAGTGGATGACACTTGATGTTAATGCAGTTTTTCAAATATTAATTAATCAATTAAATTTAATTAATGAATAACTAGTAACAATCTAAAATAACTGTGCAGCACTATATAAAAATCGTCCGTTGTGTCTCTGTAGCGCATTGGATAGCGAGTTTGATTTCTAATTAAAAGGTCGTGGGTTCAAATCCCACCTGGAATGGTCTAATTTCTGAGAATGTCATTTCGTGTTTTTTTTACTATACTAATATATTAGAATAATTAAATTTATTTCATGAATAAACAAAAATACTAGTCCAACACCATATATAGAAAGAAAAATGGGAAATTTCAAGGAAGTCGGTTTTTATTTTGTCACTTAATGCTGTGATTCTGTCATACGTGCATACATATTTATATTAATTGTAACTATTAAATAAAAATTAACTATTTTTTTTTCTTTTTTGACCTAACTAGGAATTGACTTGATTTTTTTTGTATAACTTGTTTATAAATTTATCTTATTTAACTATGCAAACAATATTAAAACAACGAAATATACAGTTAAAATTATTTACCTATTTGTTCATCAAATTACGCCTTTCAACTAAAAAAATGTCTACAATAAAATAACATCCGTTTTAAATATTTTCTTGTATCAGGTCATTGAATCAGTTTTCATTAGTTAATAGAATCTAGCATTCTGAACTTGTACAAATAATAAATAACCTCCTTCTCTCTATTTTATTTTATTTTATGTCTCAAACGAACTCTTAAATTTTGTTTCTCTTTTTATTTTTTGTTTACCCTTAAGAAATTTATCCAGGTTTTATTTTTCTTTAGGACTTTTCTGAATTTAACTTTGAAAATTGGATTAAAATGGAACAGAAACTTACTGTTTGCAATCTAGAAAATCTTGTAAAACATTTTGTTTGTTATTGTGTATATATATTACTAGGATTTAGAAGAAATACATGTAGTAGCTGGGGATTTTATTTCATGGGCTTAAGAAATATATAGTTGTAACAATATATTTTGTTTGTTTCCAGAAGTAAGTAAATCCCGCAAAATATTAAATATTCATTTGTCTTTTAGCATGAATTATACTTAAAAAATTATATATATGAACAAATAAAAAACACACTAAATCTAAAAAAAATAATAAGTAATAGAAGACTAAAAAAACTGCAGCATAGTCTGTCTGAGTACTCTAAGGAAATTGTTTTGTAGTGGATCCCTGGCAACTGCGGTGCAGTGCCGGTTTACCCATTGGACGCTTGGAGCGGGTAGCCAGGGGCCCGGAGTGGAACAGAAGGGCCAGGATAATCCGGACTTAACCAGATTTTCTGGATATACATTTCGATCCTCCAATTTACAAGGGATGCACATCTTTTGCACTCAGGGTCGAGTGCAGAAACGAGCTTAAATCGGCAGTGCTACGGTTTAACTGATAATGAGTTTGTGGATGACCTAGCAAAGAAGGGAGCTTTCATTCAACATACAACAAGGAAATATGTCTGTTTGACCAGTGCCAAACGTATTATTAAAAGGAAAAATATGAATGATCTCACTTCAATTCAATACACAGAGAAGTTCTAATAAGATCTGGGGGAATAATCTTAAAGATCTTCCCACCTGACCAAGACGTAAAGCAATTGTTGAGTTTCGACTTACTACTGGACACGACTTCTACTCAGACATTTTTATCGAATTCACGTTACACAGGTCTCTTTCTGCACGCTCTGTAATATTTGGGAAAACATGGGTGCTGACCACATTCGCCATTTCCCATTTATGTGATCTTTATTGATAAACTAGGGTCTAATTAGGTTCATAAACTTTTCTCGCCCCGTTTTTATTTCCTACTTTGTTTATTTTGTCTGTTTTTGTTTCTGTTACGGCTCCCTTATGGTGTAGTGGTGTTTTGTAACCCTGGTCATTGGGAATAAAAAAAAAAATAACAGAGCAAAAGTTCAACAATATAAACAACAATATAAATATTTAGAAGATAGAAAGAAATATTAACTACGGTAATTATTATTATCGTAAGGTATTAAAATTAAAAATGATGCCAGAGGTGAATCAAAATGGAATTTTCGACTTATGACCAAATAAGTGGGGTTTAAAAAGTTTGAAGGTACAACCTTCCCCTTTTGCGAACGATTAACTAAAAAAAATCAAACGGAATATAAACAAAAAAAATCGAAGAGAAAAAAATTACTATTAGCACAAAGAGTTTCAAATAAATAAATGAGAAGTTAAGTTTTGTAATGCATTATGAATTCCTAAAGAAAGAATTTTAAAATTTTTCAAAGAAATGGAAATTCTTGAAACTATTGTATACCCACTGTGTAGTCCAGGTAAACATCCAAAGAATTTTAGAACACGTCACCTACACCAGAATGTGAAAAGAAATGCATGCTAGTGAATATTGGTAGGTTTCAAGTTGATTGGTTGATAAAATGTGTAGAAATCTGCATATGAACTTGCTGTTTTAGAATATGTATGAGTGTAAGTTGTAAAAAAAAAGTTTTATTAATATTCATAGCAGGACCACTAACAAACTGACTTTGTAATCCTAATGTTGTGTATAAACATATATATATATATATATATATATATATATATATATATATATGTATATTCATTCTATAGTGTTCGAATTAATTGAGACAAACGGGGAAAAAAACGATTTTTTTCCTAACGCTTCAGCTTAGACCATTAATGTTTAGAATCATTACATATCTTAATAAGACTGCAAATATCTATATTAGTATGAAGTAGGTTCTATTTTAGCAGAAATGAGCTCTTGAACACGTTTGGGCATTAACTACACCAGTGAATCACGCACGCCCTTTATATTATCATCGATGGACTACACTTGCATAGCAATTTTTATCATCTGTTCTGTTGTCATATAATTCATCTGACCTAAACGATTCTTTAGAACACGCCAAACGTTCTCAATGGGAATTAAGACTGGTGAATTACCAGGTCAAGCAAGCACTTCTATTATATTTTCCCTCATAAAACTCTGGACTGATATCGAATTGTGACAAGAACCTAGTCCTGTTGAAATGTTCCGTCAAATGTTTCATTGATTGAACAACCCTAATATGTAATATTTCTTTACATATTTACAGAACTCAGCATGCATTTAAGATGAAGTAAATATCGGGGTCATTTGTTGTGAAAAAAACCCGAAACATCTTTTCAGAAGAGTGCTTTACAGTCTGTTGGATATGATCTAGTAACAGATTTTCACCTTCACTTTGTCTTATTGCACTTGATTTGTATCCCTGCAAAAATAAATGTGTTTCATATCTAAAAGTACGTTTTCTCAGTCGTTAATAGTCCAATATTGGTATTTTTTGGCTCATGTGAAACATTTTTCCATCATTTTCTGAGTTAGAAATTGTGTTAGTCTCGAATTTCTTGCCGTATGACCTATTTTCAAAAGCTTCTGCTTAAAATTGAGGTATTCACTTCAACAAAATACTTTAAATAAATCCTTTTGGAGGTCTGTACTTGTCTTCCTTAGATTTATCTGCAAATTTTTATTAGAATTTCATCAGTTCGTAGAGTAATTGTCCGCTTGCCCCCATTTTTCCATTTTTTCTTTTTTTAGGGAGAATGTTCCAGAATTTTGAAATGCTCTTAAAATTCTTGAAACACTTGATTTGCCGACGCCAACTGCTGGAGAGTTGTGTCTCCCATAGTAATAGAACTTTGATCTTTCAGAGCGATTATTTTGGAACGCTTCCTCGGAGTAATATCCATCTTTGAACAAGCAAAAGTAATACGAGTTACACGGAACACAAAATTGCAATCACTAGCTTCCTCAATGAAATGACCACAGCTCAGCTACTCATACACTGAAGCCAGTCAAACGAGTAAATAATAGTCGAAGTTAAGCCGTCAGTTTGCCCTGAGGCAAATATATAAACGATTTGAGGTGGTTCGGGACATAAATGGTAATCACATATCAACTCAGACAAGAAAAATACGTTTGTATCATTTAATTCAAACAGTATAATATATATATATATATATATAAAGGCATTTATAGATGATAGGTTTACAATTTGTAGAAAAATTAATATATGAATAGAAATATAATAGAATATGAATATAAAATAATTCATTATTTATATAACTTGTTAATGAAAAAAAATATAGTACAAAGCACATACTTTTTAAAGATGTAACTTAATTTTAGCACTCGTAAAGTAAAACAAAACAAAGAAAATTTATTCTTTTAAGTTTTTCTTCATATAATTCCAAAATCAATACATGTTTATAATATCTATCATAAAATGTAAGTCAATATATTTCTTTTTCTTCACTTTCTCAAATGCATTTTCTTTTTCCCAAAATATTTCAATTTTATCGGTTGCATGCCATCCACGGATGAATTGAAGAATAAATGGATTTATATATTTATTGTAGAACATTCTTACTAACACGTGAAAAATGATTTCAATATTTTAAAAATAATAATAATAATGTTCCTCGTATTGGTAAAAATGATCTTTAAAGTAAAAAATATGTTTTCATGTAACTTTTTCTTTTTAAATATGCTTAAGAAATATATATATAAAGTGAAACATGGAAATAATATGTGTATACTAAGTATTTAGTTAAGAAATGTGTAAATTTATATGCATGAACTATTGTGACTACTTCATTTCCAAATGAGCAATTCTAAATCCTAAGTGTATAATTTAAAACTCTAGAAGGTATACATACATGTGTAATAATTAGTTCCGAAAAATGTTTAATGTTATAATGACGATATTTTTATGATGAAATATTTAATTATTTCACAGTGTTACTGATTTATTTTAGACAGTGGTTTAAAAACGAATCACATTTCATTATAGCTGTTAATAATTATCTGATTCCAATAACAAAAATACATTGAAGTAGAATAAGAAATTTGAAATTAGCCATATATCAATTTCTTTTCCCTTTAATTTTCCAAAAAAAATGGTTCAAAAATTAAAAAAAGTACAGATTGTGCCCAATAAACGATTAGAAAAAAAATGTTAAGGTTATCCAAAAGAAAATATCTTTTTTGACGCCTGGCGTGTTACTATGCGTTAATATTAATGGAAAAAATTCTGCTCTGTTTTCCCGATGGTTATATATTTACCCAAATGGTGACATGTTTGAAATCTACAGAGTTTTTTTTCTTTCAATTCGGCTGATATAAGGGCTTTA